TTAAACTTCTTTTTGGAATTGCTTTATTGGGAAAAATTTGTGATGTGTGCTTATAATTCTAACATTTCAAAATAGTCTAAGCAAGCTGCACCAATTATTTTATTTGGAAAAGACATATTCAAAGGATTAGGAAATTTTGTGCCTTAGTAGTCTGTAAACAGAAATCACTGATGTTTAGACATAATGGATATTGAACTAGATAAGTATAGAACATTTTATTTTATCCTCAAATACAAACTTCAACATTATTTAATGTTGTTAATAAGGAAACAGACACAAAATTTTATTTTATGTGGCCAATTTTGAACAATGAAATTCAGGACCCATGATAATTTATGAGTCTCCATTGCAACGCAGAGTTAAAAATTAATTAAAAAAAGCCGGCGTGTTGGCACACGTCTTTAATCCCAGCACTTGGGAGGCAGAGGCAGGCGGATCTCTGTGAGTTCAAGGCCAGCCTGGTCTACATAGTGAGTTCCAGGACAGCTGGGGCTACAGGGAGACCCTGTGTCAAAAAGACAAAAAAAATAAAAAATAAAAAATAATAAAAAAAAACAAAACAAAGGGAAGAAGGAACCCAGTGACTGCCTCTTTGGGGAGCATGGTTGTCTAGTGTGCATTCCTGCTTAGTACTTTAGGGTGTACTCTGTGCCCTGTTCCCACCATTTAAGCTCCAACCTCATATCCTTCCAGGTCTACCACCCCAAACTCTGAGACAAGCCAGGGTCTACTCACATTGTGGACATTTGGGGTACTGAGGCTCCTCCGAATGTGCCGAGCCTTGGTGGAAAGAGCTTCCTTGACAGTGACAGCCTGTAAACATGCAGCGAGGACAGTTACTGTGGCCTCATCTGACTAAAGGAACATGTGTTTACTTTAGAAGGTTTAAGAAACACAGATATAAGCCGGGCGTGGTGGTGCACACCTTTATTTCCAGCACTTGGGAGGCAGAGGCAGGCAGATCTCTGTGAGTTCAAGACCAGCCTGGTCGACATAGTGAGTTCCAGGACAGCTGGGGCTACAGGGAGACCCTGCCTCAAAAAGACCAAAAAAAAAAAAAAAAAAAGAAACACAGATGTAAAAAACACTTCAACTATATACTTGTACACACACACACGCACGCACACACACAATCTTTGTTTACAAGATTGGTCTTGTATTGTGACCACATTGTGTAAAAACCAAAACCAAAACCAAAACAAGCAGTTTAATTCTAGCACTTGGGAGGCAGAAGCAGGCAGATCTCTGTGAGTTCAAGGCCAGCTGGTCTACATAGTGAATTCTAGCCTAGCCAGATCTACATAGTGAAACTCTTGTCTCAAAAATAAACAACAACAAAACCCCATAAAATATATAACCTAATCTATCAAAAACATTAAAAACCCAAACCCAAAGCAGCAAAGCTGCTGAGCCCAGGACAAGCTGTGAGTTTATGCAGCTGTGCAGAGGACGACAACGAAGACGGCCACGAGGTACTGCGGTGAGGGTATTCCTGTGTCAGCATCTCCACAGGATTTATACCAAAGGGACTCTGGACAAACACCACCTGCATTTCTCCTGTCGCTCAATACAATGCTCATAAAGTTAACTCCTGCTCCAAAGGAATACACACTGGGCACACATCTGTTCTCCTAGCTGTACCACTGAGATGATGATGATGATGATGATAATGATGATTATTATTTTTGAGGTGGGGTCTCATGTAGCCTACACTGGCTTCAAACTTACTATGTAGCAAAGGATGACTTTGAACTTCTGATCCTCCTGCCTCCACCTCCTGAATGCTGAGATTATAGGTTTGCACCACCATGTCTGGTTTATGTAGTGCTGGGGTCCAAACCCGGGGCTTCGTGCATGCTAGGCAAGCACTCCACCAACTCTACATCCCCAGCCCTAAGTGCACTGTTTTAACTCAAATGTCCTACTGGCAATTCAAAAGTCAACCTGGGTCTGAACATGAAAGTTATAGTGATGGATGTGGTCCACGGGCTTTGGAGCCAAGCTTCTTGGCTTTGCACCTGACTTGGTACCACTGCCTGGCTGTGTAACCTGGGCGAGGGAGCTCACTTCTCTCAGCCTCGATATTCTCATTTGAAAAAAATGAATTACAATAATACTTACATCTAAGAGTTACCTTGATAATTAGTACTTGGCTGGGGGATACTGAGCGTGGTGGCACACACTGGAGAGGCAGGATAGCCACGGGGTGGAGGCCAGATGAGTCTACATACTGAGTTCTAAGCCAGGCAGGACTCCAGAGCAAGATATGTCAAAAGACACACACACACACACACACACACACGCACACACACACACGCACACACGAGCTTGCACAGGCATGCACACTATTTTGTCAGTGTCCTTTCTCTGAGGACACTGCTATGCAAGCACTCCTTCTCTGACAGATTTTGTCATCTCTATCGACTGGGAAGGCTGTTCAGTGCATCCGAGGTCTAGACGCTCAGCCACTTACCTGCCGGAGCCGCTCAAGACTCAGAATGTTCTCCACCTGTCGCACGCCACGCGTGTACTTCTCGATGTACGTCTCCCCATCTGAGGTTCCCTCGTTCTCACTCTGAGCCGCCAGCAGAGCCAGTGTTTCCCGGTCCTCAATTTCCTCGGTCGCCTGAAGGACAGGAAGGAGGTAACTGCATTTTTACGTGAATGGTATTTTCACTAACAGGTTTGTCATGTGCTTTGAAAGCATGGAGAACCAACACATTATTTTGTTTTAAAAAGCAGCAAATGTTTTACCTTTGGTATATTGGACACGATCTCATAGGTCACACCGCAAGAATAAAATATATTTTTCAGGGATATTCTCCTCTTCAAGCTCTGGGTGAAACTCTGGCAGAAAAGGAGAGCTGGATTAAGCTATGTGACAAATCCAAGCCATTTAGTACCTTGCAAATTGGAAAAGCATTGCAAACAATTGTTTTTGGCACATTCATGCAAGCAATATTTAATAAAACAGAAGGAAAAAACCTGAACTTAAAATTGGGCATGATGTCATACTGTAATCCCAGTACCTGGGAAGCTGAGGCAGGAGGATTCCTATGAGTTCAAAGCTATCCTGTACAACACAGTGAGTATAAAGAATCTGAGCCTAGTCTGGACTACTAAGTGAAACTGTATCTCAAATAAACAAGAAAGAAAGGAAGGAAGAAGGAAAGAAAGAAAGAAAACCACAGAAAACACAACAAAACCAAAAACTGCACCTAAAAATCCTGTCTCTGGACTGGTGAGACAGCTATGTGGGTAAAGACACTTGCCTCCTGATGGCCTGGCTTTGAGCTTCAGGACCCCCATGGTGGAAGGAGAGAACTGACTCTTACAAGTTGTCTTCTGATCTTCACACACGTTCTGTGGCATGTGTGTGCATGTACACACACTCAAACACATACACATTCACACACTACATTCATACATATGTAAATGTAATAAAAAGTCTGGTCTCCGGGGCTGGTCAAGAGCACTGATTGCTCTTGCAGAGGACCCGGGTTCGATTCCCAGCACCCACACGGTGGCTACGAACAGTCCTTAACTCCAGTTTCAGGGGAATCCGAGGCCCTCTTCTGACCTCCGCAGCATTGCACAACATGGGTGCACTCACATACATGTAGGCAATACACTCATACACATAAAATAAAAAATAATAAAATATTAAAAGTCTGGTCTCCATCCTTGAGGGACAATGGGTTACAACTGTGATTTAGGGGTCAGATGACAGAGGTGAGACATACCCAGGGTTTCTGTAACTCTGTCTCCTGCCCCTCTCTGATAGCCTTTCATCTCTCAGGTTTAGGAAGTCTTTCCTGGGACAATGGGAAGGACACTAGGGAGATCAGTTTTGCTGACAGCACCTCTGACATGTGCTTTGGCAAAGCAGGAGAATTTGTTTTGTCCTGGTGTCACTGACATGACTGGACCTGGCACTTAACCTCCCAATCTCGGTGTTGCTACTTAGTACACAGTGAAATGTCACAGCCCCTGCCTGACAGGAATACCATTTGTTCTTTTTTTTTTTTTTTCCCTTAAGATCATTTTATTGGGGCTGGGGAGATGGCTCAGTGGTTAAGAGTACTGGCTGCTCTCGCAAAGGACCCTGGTTCGATTCCCAGCACCTACATGGTGGCTAACAACCATCTATATTTCCATTTCCAGGAGAATCTGACACATATTTCTGACCTCTGCAGACACTGCATAACATGGGTGTACTTACCTACATGCAGGCAATACATTCATATGCATAAAAAATATTAAACAAAATACAAAAATTTTTTTAAATTAAAAAAAATGTTTTTAGGCAAAAGAAACCTGATAGCTGGAGAATACGTTGTATTTATGAGTTCTTTTTATTTAATGTACATTAGCCTTTAATTTTTGTGTGTGTGTGTGTGTGTGTGTCTGTGTGTGTGCAGGTGCCTGTGGAGGCCAGAAGACAGCATCAGATGATCCCTGGAATTGGAGTTACAGGCAGTCATGAGCCACCCAAGATAGGTGCTGGGAATGAAACCTGGGTCCTCTAGAAGAGCAGCAAGTGCTCCTAACCTCTGAGCCTCTGCTCCAGCCCCAGGGATTCTGGGTTTCCAGGCAACGTGTTTCGGGGATGGCATTTCCTTCCGCTGTTCTCACTTAGCCAGCATGGTTACAGCTTCCTATCTGCTCATCGGTGCTACAAAGCATGATTTTGTGACAGAGGAGACAATGTTGCCCTTATACACAGGACGGCAGAATCAGTCCTGTTAGTACCTGTTTGTTGTAAATATTGGCTGCGATCCGCTTCCGTAACACTAATTCCATAGCTGCTGGGTGGCTGAGCTGGACCGTGGTCTTTACAATCAGGTAGATCCTTTCGTTCTGTGGGGTGACCCGATTCAGGTGAACAGAATCATGCACCGAGGAGTCCCAGGAGGCCGTGGCTGAAACCTAGGATAGGAAAAATGACAGAGTGTGTGTGTGTGCGTGTGCGTGTGCAGAATCAAGACACATCAGGTCTACAAGGCCTCCCAGAGAAAGAAAATCAATTCTTCTTGGTATAATAAAATAGATTTACTTCACCTATTTTGAATGATGACATAAATGGTGTTTGGTTCAGTCCTCAGTCCATTTCCCCAAAGCAGATCACGGAGGTTTATCAGGCCCACAGAGAGCCTGTTCTCCTCTGACGACCCTCAGTGAGCCCTGGGGGTAATTACCTCATCATCACTGTGCTTTATGATGGGCAGGTAGAAGAACTGGCTGCCGTGCTCCTTGGGCAGGATGGAGTTCACCCCCGACGCATGGGGCCCCACCAGCTGCTCATTGGCGCTCAGGTCATCCGCTGCCCATGTTCAAGGCACAAGGCGAAAACGGGGGAAGAAGACAGCTTTTAAGCAAAGAAGCGACATTCGAAAAACATGCCTTTTAAATTTATTTTTCACTTTAGAGTTTATTATTTTTATTAATTTTTTTTTTTTTTGGTCTTTTTGAGACAGGGTCTCCCTGTAGCCCCCGCTGGCCTGGAACTCACTTTGTAGACCAGCCTGGCCTTGAACTCACAGAGTGCTGGGATTAAAGGCATGCGCCACCACGCCCAGCGTATCTTTATTAATTTTTAAAATTAGCAGACAAGCAATGGACTTTACGAAGCATTTCCTCTGTGTGCCTCCTGTTGCTCCCCTGCTCTCCTCCCCTCCCGTTACTGTCACATTCATTCATTCTCACCTCCCCACCACCTTAAGATCTCTTTTTCTCATGATCTGCCCGTCCATTATGCGTATGTGCTTTTAAAAGTTGGTGGTTTGGGGACTGAACCCAAGAACTCATGTGTGTTAAGCATATGCTCTACCACTGAGTTATACCCAATCCCCCAAACACACTTCTGGTAGATAACGTGTACACATACTTCCAGTTTTTCTTTCACTTCTTACCCTTCTATTGAAATAGACACTCAAAGATTCACAATAGCAATTATGTTTTTTAAAATACAACTATATAGGCTGGGCGTGGTGGCACACACCTTTAATCCCAGCACTTGGGAGGCAGAGGCAAGTGGATCTCTATGAGTTCAAGGCCAACCTGGTCTACATAGTGAGTTCCAGGCCAGCTGGGACTTCAGGGAGACCCTGTCTCAAAATGACAAAAACAAAACAAAACAAAAAAGAACTGTATCAGCCAAAAAGCTGCCTTGCCAGTTTCCTATGAGGTGGCACTGACATCTCCCATGCGTAGTCCTAGGGCATGTTCCCAAAACCCATCTTGGACTTTTTGTTGCTTTTTTTCCCCCCATTTTTTTAGGGACAGGACCTCTCTGTAGCCCCAGCTGGCCTGGAACTCACTATGTGGACCAGGCAGGCCTCGATCTCACAGAGATCCGCTTGTCTCCACCTCCCAAGTGCTGGGATCAAAGGTGTACGCAGCCACATCCAGCGTACTTTCTTGGTGTTAGTTCCTAATGTTAGGTTTGTTGTTCTACTTGCATAAACTCACATTAAAATAGAGATTTCTAGAGTTGTTTTGGTGTATATGTGCATAGTGTAATTGTTTGTGTGTGTGCTTGTGAAGGCCAGAAGATGGTCACAGGTGTCTTCTCTGATCTCTGTCCACTTTACCTTTTGACAGGGTTTCTGACTGAGCCTGCAGTTCACTGATTTGGCCAGGTTGGCTGCCAATGAGCTCTGGGGATCCTTCCCTGAAACCCAGTGCTAGGGTTACAGGACGTCATGGTGCCTGGCTTTTACACAGGTCCTCAAGCTTGTGTGGTAAGCACCTTACCCACTGAGTCATCTCCCCAGCCTGATTTTTGAGACAGGGTCTCATAAAGCCTAGGCTCACCTCAAACTCCCTATATAGCTGAAACCAGCTTTGAATTCCTGATCCTTCCTCTACCTCTTGAGTCCTGGTATTGTAGGCATGTGTCACCATGCTTGTTTAAAATTAAGAGACTTTAGTATTTAAATTATTAATTTAGAATCAAAGTTCTTGGCATTTGGAAGAACTAAGAAGAACATCTTTCTCCAGAGCCCCAGGCAGTGTGGGGAGCTCCAGGCAGTGTGGGATTCAGCCTTCATAAACATCTGTATGTGGTCAGCTAGTCATTGCTCGTAGACTTACCATAATGGAGAACTTACCACCTATGGAGACACACATTCTATCTACAATCCTCTAAAAAGTCTGATTGCTGAGTGAAACCCAAGCTCCACGAGGCATCTTCCATTCACCCACTACTGACTTTTCTAGAGCTGAGGTTTTCTGGCTGTTTGAAGAGTGCTGCAGAAGGACCTGCCAGGAGCCTGGTTACCCCTGAACGTAAAAACTCTGCTTTGATTTTCCTTTCTAAAATCAATTTAGATATTCCCTCTGGCTTTGGCTCTACTGGCCCCAAGTTTCACTGGTATGCTTTTCCTCCCAAGAGGAGCAATATTCAAAAAGGACTTAGACCAGGGATGTCTTGGCAACCAGCCTCTACTGAGAGTTCTTAATCTTTGTTTCAGATAAGATCTCATTATGTAGCCCAGGCTTGCCTTGAACTCATTATGTAGCCCAGGCTGGCCTCAAACTCATGATCTTCCTGTCTCAGCCCCCCGAGTACTGGGATTACAAGTCTGTGCTCATGCCCAGCCTCTGTTTTCTTTTATTGAGACAAGATCTCACTATGTATCCTTGGGTGGCCTCTACCTCACAGGCCTGCCTCTACCTTCCCGAGTACTGGGATTAAAGCTGTGTGCTACCACATCTGTTTTATTTTCTATTCATGGATTTTATTTGAGTATTTATATATATAAAGGAGTTTACTTCTAAAACACATTGAAAATTCTCGCTACAGGTATGATCTCCTTCCATTAGGTTGTCACACTAAAGAACTTTCTTTTGAAGTGCTGAGATTGAACTCAGTCTTCTCACATGCTAGGCAAGTGCTCCACTACTGAGCTAAACTGCAGCCACCCCCCCTTGAACATTTTGTTTTAAATCCATTCATGTATTTGTGTGTTTAAGGGCAGGGGCATGCTTGCCTCTGTGCACAAGTGGGGGTCAATGGACAGCTCGTGCAAACGAACAAACTCTCCTTCCACACTGTAGAGTCTGGGGGTCAAACTTGGGTAGTTAGGTTCCTGTGCCTCTGCCTCCTAAGACATTTCACCACCCCCTCCCTTCCCCAGCACTTTTAAAATTTTTTATTTGGAGATAAGATCTCACTAAGCTACCCTGACTGGCCTAGAACTTTTGATCTTCCTATCTCAGCCTCTCGAGCTGGGAAGCTACCAGGCCCCCTAAACTACCTTTTTATGGGAGATGGCACTAAGGGTCTAACCTATGGCCTTACAGATGCTAGGCTAGCTCTTTACCACTGAGGTAGAGCCCCAGCTACAGAACGAATCTTGGTGCAAGGATATAACATGATCATTTATGGCACCAAAATGTACCAGGGGCTGAGGGTAAAGAGATGAGTTAGAAATGCAGATCCCTCAGCCCTTACCAAGCCTAAAGCAGAGTCACAGAGGGCAGAATCATGGGGGAGAGTCCTTTTCCAGGTAATGCCTGTCTGTTAATATCTCAGCACATGCCTCTGTCCTCCTGTATGCAGTTTTCAATCTGCATCTCTCCTTCAGTGACCACACACCATGCTTATGTATGTTGGAGATGACTGTCTTTGCTGAGTGTGATAACCCCTGGAACTTAGGTACCTACTTACCGTTCAGATCAAGGAAGAGAACGGGTATGTGCGTTTCCATTCCAGGAGGTGGGACCCTAGATTCAATAACAAAATTTAATCATAGCAATCGTAATACAATTATGTGTTTTGTAGCTTGTTAACTAATAAAGTACTGTAGAGTCACAGGAGCTGAAGAGACCCACATGGGGATGGGGGTTCAATTCATGCTGCACTGTCCCACTTCTTTATTACATCTCCCTCCCTCCCTCTGTCCCTCCCCCCTCCCC